CTCCTCTGCAACCGGCCCGGTTGAGTATACCGGTAACTGCGGCATATATGCGGGAGGCAGCCTAGAGCGGTACATCTCAGCACCTAGCACACCCAGTGGGTGAGCTATCCAGCCATTCACCGGTGTTCCTTGACCAACCAGATGGTCTTCCCCTCCAAGTTGTCTGTTGTGTATGGTGGGAGACGAGCGTGGCGTACGCTTAACCGCGGGAATTCGAAGGACGGTGGCTCTGATGGGGCGGTTAGCAGGTCGATATGTCACTCTCCATCGGACCCCACCGCCTCGCGCATGACCATTTCGAGTGACAGGGTCTCCACCGCGGCGTGGGTAGGGAGTCGTTACCAAGTCGCGGGCTGGCGGCCAGGTGCTCTATATAACTGTCTGCCCTCAGCACCTTGATGGCTCATCACGCTCCAACACTTCTACAATCCAACCAACCAAACAATCCAACAACCCAACCAACCAATCAAAATGGCTCCCTGGTACGTCTTGCGACCGACTTTGGTGTTTGACACACGGTGGTGTGCTGCTGCTTCAAGGCTAGCGCCAGCACCGTGATGGACACTCTACTGGGAACATGGAGGGGCTCTGGCTAACAAACGAACAGCAACTGCTCCTCCTGCAAGTGCGCTGGTGACTGCTCCAGCTGCGGATGCGGATCCTGCTCCGTAAGTACATCTCGAGATATACCGACGCGGTGTCTTCCTTACCGTCTGGAATGGCACTAACAACCCGAATAGCACTAAGCGTCAAGCTACCCTGAGCCTCGGAACTCTTCCAACAACACTTCCATCGAGCGATTCGGAGATGGAACAATGAACACTGTTGGAAATCGGGGTGAACTGCCAATACCAAGGGTCACGACTGCTGGGCAATATTAGATGAGATATGATCATGGAATAAGGACACTCACTTGAAAGCCATGTCTCTCTCCGTGCTGTGAACATGTTAATGGATCTGCTTGATTTCTTGACTTACCTACTGCAGATGAAGCATCGATATTGACGCACCACAACAACACACGAGAGGCAGGCTATGCGATAAAAGGGGAACACTCCAGCAATCTGTCGACTATGACCTTCTCTATCATGCTTTTGGCTAGCACATGTATCGCTTTAATCAGTATTTAGTACATCACTTGACAAGAGTCGAATAAGCTCGCATCAGAGAGGAGTGTGAAAACTAAGTTCATACAACAAGTCAAGGTAATCATCAAGCGCTCCGACTACTTCAGATATCAAGATGTTGACGGATGTCGTCACCAAGCCTCCACTCCTCATCCTTCGCCATACGATCGAGAGGACTTTGCATATCGTCCTCGTCACTTCTACGCGTACCGCTCGTACCTGTATCGCTGACGACTGTTACGCCACTCACACTACCGCTTGTGCTCCTGCTCCGTCTCTTCTTGAACCAACTCCGTTTGCTCTTTGTACTTGCTGCATCTGTATCCGACGCTATCGATGCGGCATACTCACGTCCATCACCCTCGACTAGAGTAGGGTCTGTACTGGATGCTACACTGAGATTAGATGAGAGCTTTGTGAGTTGATTAGGATCAAGGTCTCCGGAAGTATCGATTGGGCTAGGTTTAGGCGTAGGCATAGGCGTTGTATCTGTCGACGAGGTCGATTCGACGAGCTCGGCATCGCGGTACCATTTTCGACGGCGGGTATAACGCCCCCAACCATCTTGACCTCTTCGTCCGTCCCTCCACTGTTGAAGTTAGTATCAGAACATTGTACCAAGTTACTATACTTACTTTATTGTCGTAGTAAATCCACGCCGAGTCCTCCTTGGACGCGCCTTTGTCAGCCTTGCTGTCTTTCTCCGCGCCTTCAACCTTCCATTCACTTCCTTGCACCCACCGCCATCTCGACTGACCTCCTTCAACTTCAGGTAGTTCGAACTGTTCTTTAGGTGGAACCGGGTTTAGGTGCTCATCCGTCCAAGACGCTCGCTCGTAAGCAAGCATAGAGGATGTCCATCCGATGCCTAGCCATCTTCGCTGGTTCTCATAGATGGAGAAGGTGAAGCGTACGCCTGTAGATTCGGGCCGACGCTTAGCCGCCAATGAAGCTGCAACCTCCTGCGTGCTCTTCTTTCGAGGTGGCAGAGGAGGCGCACCCTTCCTATCTACTGACACAATTTCGCCAAAGTCGAGTCCAGTTATGAAGGCGCAGGTACGCCGGACTGTTCTTGATCTCCACAGGAGGGTTCGGGTTACGCGGGCCGGTCGTGAATGCCAGCTCAGCATCACAGTGCCTACCGCTAGTACCACTCGCTTCGTAGTCAGGATGTAGAACGGTGGTAGCGTAAGCGCTATCCATAGCGGCAACACGAAGAGGATTCGGATAAACAATACAGTGAGCGCCGGACGTGTAGTAGCCGAGGTCGCAGTCCTCTGTGTAGATAAGAAGTCTGTGAGGCGTAGGAAGGGATCTAGTAGGATGTTGCAGCGCGAAGTGAAGAGCTTCAGACTGTCCACAATCTCTTCCAGGCTCTTGTGATGCTTGATGTTGGTGTCCGACTCAACGCGCTTGTGCGCCTTCTGTCCCTTCTCGCCTGTCCACCCGGTCGACGATAGTGGAGAATACCTTCGCGTGTACATGCCCAGTATCAGCCCAGATACGACGATAATGGGCCCTGCGTATCTCGTCACGGCATCACCATACATGACGACGGCCCAGAAGCTTGCGACCACGAGGAAGCTCTCCCATGGGTCTCCGGTCGTCCATGTCACCAGCCCAGCAAACTTGTTCAGAGGTAATATGAAGGGGTGCGAATAAGCGAGCACGCGAGTGATCTGTGGTGGTGTAGCCGCAAGTAGGGGCGACTTTTGGTGCACGAGTATGGCGGAGCGCAGTTTTGTTTGCGGTGTCGTCTGGCCTAGGTTGGCGGGAGAGAAGCTGGCATACGTCGGGTTGGAACTCGAATCACCGGTTGGCGGCGGGGACGACGCATCGTTGCTGGACCTTGAAGGGGTGGACATGTGCTGTATCCAGGGTGTGTCTATGTGGGCATAAGCATGTTGTTTGCGCAACTCGGTTTTACTTGAATGTGGTTGCAAGTTTGGAAGTTACCAACCTAGTGCTGCCATGCATGGGGTTGTGCGTCATCGCCTGGCTGAGCAGTGGAGGCTGAGTGCCGCGCTCTTGTCAAGCCACGCTCAGTGATTATACAGGAAGGAAGCATGCAGCGATGCACAACTGAAGCTCGAGAGATGTTGGAATCTGTCATGCAAAGTCGCACATGACGTTGTCGCCGGGAGCGATGCGGGGATCTTTGAGCATGTGAATGTCTTAGTCCGAGGGCGACTTGCGGAAGCCTCATGGTGCCTCCCCGGCGCCAATATCCAGAAGCAATCTGGATGAAGGGCGCGCAAGGGATGCAGCGCCGTAATTCTCAAGTTTCACCGGACTGCACGAGCATAGCCATCGTCAGGCGCGCAGAGATGCTTGCGATGATCGCAGTTTGCGATCGTGCTGTGATTGGCTGAGATCACGTGCCAGGTGCGGAGGCAGGCCGAGAGCGCGGAAGGCGACCCAGAATTTTTGGAGATGCCCTCATTGCCAACAGCACCCATCCGCCCAAGACAAACCGGCGTGGCTCTCGCATAGGACTCGACTGGAATAGCAGATTACACAGACTCTCCTTACCTCTGCATCTCTTACAATGGCATGTTCCTACTCGCTGTCACACCGTCTGCAACTAACACGTACAGGCCCACCGCATAATAACACAAGTCGTCTTCTCCGGCGCTCGAATAATAGGTCGCGCCGTCTCCGAATCGTATCGTCAAGCCGCCGCGTCGCAGAAATATGCAGCCGCCAGCCAAGGTGGTGGAGGCAGCGGTGGCGCCTTCTCGTCTTCGAACATCACCATGGACGAAGCCTGCCAGATCCTGAACGTGGGCCCCGGAAAGATGGGAAACATTGAAATAGAGGCTGTCACGGAGCGATTCAAGAGGCTGTTCGATCTGAACGATCCGAAGAAGGGCGGAAGTTTCTATCTGCAAAGCAAAATATTGAGGGCACGAGAGAGGATAGAGAGAGAGGTGCAGGGACATCAACGGGTGGCGGAGCGCGAAAAGGAATTAAGGGAAGGGTGTAAGTACCCATGCATGCACCGCATGTGAGACACATACTGACATGGCGCACCTACTTCTAGTCAAGCCTAAGTTTACGAAAGAAGATTGAGGTCGCTCTACATGGACCAATCTAACTTAGCCGCGGTTCTTCTCGGTCACTCGACCTCGAGGGCGAGACATACAAACTGGACTATGTTCCTGACGAACTACACGGAGTGATGAAGGGAGAACCTGTTGCATTTTGGGCGTTGGGCATAGCGTTTGAGCCTTCTATGTTCTATGGGCACAGTAAGCGATGGCGCTTCGTCATCGAGAGTGTGGTTGGATGGGCATAAGCATGCTTCGGTCTCTCTCCACTCTCCTGTTTCTTACATTTCTTCGCGAGTGTTCAATACTGTATTATCACATGTAACGATGTCATATCCATCAATTGAGGAATACCCCTCGGAAACGTTGGTTTCGATCACCACCTCGCCGCAGCAGCTGGCACAGCAGAAAGCTGTCAGAGATCAGAACCTATCTGAGTGCCTAGGTGTGGGATATCTTCATCGTGCGCATACCGTCTGACGTGTGGCTTCACAAGCTTTGAGCAAGTGTCAGACCTGACTGGATGTACATCTCATCCAACATTGCAACAGCGGAGGGCGTTAGCTTCAGTAACATTAACTTCGTCTATTGCTCCAAGCACTGACCAATTCAAGTTGCAGTGAACACGGGGTCCCGGTCGCGGGCACCCCACAAATTCACTGGGTCGCGCTAAGGTCTTGGCTTACTCGCATTGTCGCTGGACAAATCTTTCGCGCCTGAGACCTTTATCCCTCCGCAACACACCGCTATCAGCACCTACCCACAACAACCACTCATCAATTGCGCGCGACAAACCCTCCTTACACTACAAACGCGACACGCCATGGGAGACTCATATCGCCCGTCGCGACCTGCGCGCGACCGCCCGCGACCACTTGCAGACCGCATGACGTTCACTGGTGGTGATGGCGACAACTACCGACCAGGCGGTGCGCGCAACGGCAATCAGTCCCAGTTCACCTTCGAGTCTAGTCACCCCGCTCCCCGCTTCCCGCCTGCTAGCGATTCCAATGTGCCGCGGGGTCCTTCCGGCTCTGCATCATCAAGAAGGCGCGGCCGTGGTGGGGCCTCGCGAGGCTCGTCTCGCGCGGACGGCAGGAACAACACGAACGGATACCGTAGGGGTGGTTTCAAGAAAGCTGCCCCACACGAGCGCGCCCTTCTGACCCATCGCGACGGCGGTAGTCCGGAACGCGCTCTAGGTGTTGCCGACGGCTCCAACCGGTTCCACAACCCAGATGATATTTCTGACGACGAAGAGGCAGATATGCAGGTAGAGAGCGCGGATTCTGCCGATGAAGATGGCGACGGCGACGGCGACGCTCGCGAGCCCAAGGCAGCCCGAACGCAAACCAAACGTGCTGATGGCGATTCTATTCCTAAATGGTCCAATCCCGACCCGTACACCGCCTTGCCGCCTCCCGATGAGACCACGGGAAAGAGAACCGACTTTGTCAAACTGATCCGGAAGGCCAAGAACCAGGAAGCCGAGAAGGCCGCTGGACACAATTCAGTTGTTGCCAACGACGATTTCATCTCGTTTGGTGACGAGGACGATAGTCGCGACGCTGTTCAAGGCTCCTTGAGCGAGTTCGCGCATATTGACAGCATTGTTGATCGGCAACAGGCGGCTGTAGCTGAACATCGGGCACCTCGTCCTGCGAGAAACAACAACAAACGCAAAGCCAATCTGAGTGGTGTTGTGGACGAATGGCTACCCGTTCCCAACGTCAATCCAACGCCGTGGCTTCCCTCACGCGACCCGTATGCGCATCTCGCCAGCGAACCTGAGAAATGGTAAGTTCTATTCATTCCTGCGACTGCATCTGTGGCAGTTATGCGATAGCCAGCTTACCCTGGAACGCGATTATTGGACTAACACTGTTACAGGCTTCATAACGAGATACTCGACTTCTATGACTTCGTCGCACCAAAGCCCTTCGAGCACGAACAACGTAACCGGCTAGTCAACCGCGTTAACAGCGCTATGGGACAACGCAGGTTCCCTCAAGAAAACGGACGCATCTTGTGTTTCGGCTCCTTCCCTGCGGGTCTTTACTTGCCCACGGCCGACATGGATCTGGTATATGTCTCGGATAGGCACTACAATGGTGGAGAACCCGTTGTCGACATGTCCGCGAGGGGGGCCAACAAGAGTCTGCTCTACAAGGCAGCCAGAAGGCTTAAAGACACAAGGTTGGCGGCCAACAACAACGCACTGGTCATCCCTGCGCGCGTTCCCATCATCAAGTTCGAAGACGAGCTCACCAAGCTTCAAGTTGACATTTCGTTCGAGAATTTGAGCGGAGTGCAAGCACAAGCGACATTTGCACAGTGGAAGCAGCAGTACCCCGATATGATATACATGGTGGCACTCATGAAGCAGTTTCTCGCCATGCATGGCTTGAATGAAGTCCACACTGGCGGGATTGGAGGGTACAGTATCATTTGCTTGATCGTCAGCTACATTCAGCATTCCCCTAAACCGGACAACCTCGGAGAATGTTTCCTAGGATTCCTCAAGTACTATGGTGACTTTGATCTATCCCGCAAACGCATCCAGATGCATCCTCCTGCTATCATTGAGAAGGTAAGTCTTCCCATGTCGCTGTGGAACGAGCAGAGGCCTCCGGCTGCTTTTCCCACTTTCGTTTGCATAGCTAACAAAAGCAGACGAACTATGGTATCGATGGCCGCCCCGAAAAATATGACGGCCTGTCCATCCAGGATCCTAATCGCCCAGAGAACAATATTTCCGGTGGATCCCACAAGGTTCAGATTGCCTTTGACGCTTTCAAAGAAGCGTACTTTACCCTCAGCGATCGTATGCAGGCCGCTCGCTCGGGACAGAATATCGGACCCAGCATTCTCGAATGCGTTTTTGGTGGCAACTACGAGACATACACCAAGCAGCGAGCCCACATGAGAAGCCTCAAGTGAGTGACGCTACGCTGGATTCATTCGGGTACCGGAGACCTTTCTGTGCGAAGCATGGACGAAGGCTTTGTCCTATCCACTAGCTTCTTTGGGATTTCATCATTCCTTTTGCACTGAACTTACCTACCTCCTCTGCAGCCAGAATCGGACCAGGACAGTCGTTGAAAAGAAGATCATGAGGCCCAAACATGGATTGACCACTGGGCAAAAGCCACGAAGAAAATGATTCAGGCGCAGCGGAATGGAACGACAATTGCAGCTTGACGGGCCCACAATAGTTTCAAATGCCAGGCAGGTGTGGTATGAGGCGGTGATATGGCTAGGCGAGTACGAACGCTCCGGCAGGTCCACTCACCATGCGGACAGATTAGGGCGGCATGATTGTTTCCACCATTGCGCGATACCCACAGCAATCTACGGCGCTATAGGCGTTTGACAGCTATAGACGTACAACACCCGGATGGATGCCTCATCGACCGGAAAAGGCCTCGCACCACCATGTTGATCCCACCAGACCTCGACGCGGCGACACGAGTCCTCCCCGCCACCGATGTTGTCTTCTGTCCGGTTCTAATTGATCGGGAGCGACACGAGATGTCTAATCTCTATACGTTTTCACAACCTCTGTTTCTTAGTATTGTAGATGTCCCATGATAAATCCGTTCTTTTTTTTTTCGCTGTTCTTCTGCTCGCTCTTAGGAGCACCTAGATGATACTAACGATACGCTTGATGCGTACAGTCATACCTAGCCCTGCTACTGCGAGGCGAGTCCGAAGCCTGGTCTGATGCAAGGACGTCGCATTGCGGCTTTCTACGTCAGTCCGCTCTTCAGAAATGTCGCCAGCAACGGGACGTCTTTTCTCATTGAGTAGCAGGCTTCATGCATGCGCTCGAGGAAGAAAGACTGGCTTATCCGAGCAGAAGCAAAATCATGTATAAGCTTCAGCAGCCTCAATGGTCGTGTCACTCGAGTAGAGCTGGTCTGCTTGAATATGAGCACGGTTAGAAGAACTGGATAGCGGATTATAACAAGATCAAGATCGTTGCCAGCAAGATTGATAGGCTATCAAAGCAGACGCTTTCAAAGGCAGAAGTACTCCATATAGCGCCAGGCTAATAATGCTCGAGTTATAACATAGGAAACCCACCGTCTCCTACTCCATCAGACGCTCATCACAGCCTACAACATGACTGCATCTGCTACCATGCTCTACAACTCCTTCTTCGTCTCCATGATGGTCTCGTTCTGCGCCCTGCTGATGAGGTCCTTCGCAACCGCCGCGCTCTCCCTCCAGCTCCTCTGGCGCTGCCAGAATCTGATCTCGGCAGTACTATCCCTGAGACTGCCCTGCCTAGCTTCTTCTTCGAGACTCTTTCTAGTAATCTCGCCACCCTTCTCACTCAACCTGGGCATGTTCTGCAGCTGGCTGAGGTTCTCCTCAAAGTATTGCTTGCGTACCAGGAAGCGTTCACGGCGTTCCTTCTGTAGGCCAGGAGAGTCGAGTCTGGACAATACCTCGCGAACGCCCCAGCGGAAGAAGATGAAGAGGTGCTCGGAGAAGAAGACAGTTAGGAGGAGGGCCCATAGCTGAATGTTGGAAGGACTGCCGCTGGGTCCAGTGCGGTCGTTCCAGAACATGTAAACGAGAGCGGATGTAGTGAGGCTGCCCATCCAGGTGAGGAAGGAGAGGGAATCGAGCCAGGGGCCGATGGTATCAGCACGCCATGGGGTCGGACGTCGCATCTCAACGCAGATCTTCATGGCATCAGCACGAAGCTCGATCCAGTCGTTGATGAGGAAGGAAACAGCGGTAAGAGGCCAAACCACGGAGAAGAGCGAAAGGTAACCAAATTGCACAACCATCTCACGAAGGTCGGCGGTAACATCGTAGACGTCGAGTTCAGCCTCCTTGCGGACACGATCAAGGAAGGCAGCGTCCTCAGCTGGGTCATTTTCGGTAGCGGCTGGAGTGGAACCACCGTTCTTTGCAGCCCTGTCGGACTGCATTTCCTTGTACTTAGCAAGACCACGACGCTTGAGGTAAGGAACGATAAGCTCCATGCCAAGGTTGACGACCTGAGCGGTGACTGTGAAGTATATGACCTGCTTACGAAGACGGTCGGGGTTGATGCTCCAGCTGGAGCTTGTCGAGTTGAGGTGCAGCTGCTTCTCATCTTCGGCGAAGGGTCGCACGGCAACATTGAAAATGTCAAGGTAGGGTACAATGACTCTGCCAAAGGGTACGTAGACGAAGGCAGTCAGGAAGATTCCCAAGTACGACATGATGAAGTTCATGACAAAGATCTTCTGGGTCAATGCCTTTTCGTACGCACCCGCGGTCTCGTAATTCTCGAATTGGGTCAGGCGTGTAGCGGCTTGCGTTAGGAGGGTGTTCAGAATAGGGTTGACGGTTGTGAGGATGCCAGTTGGAATGAATACCTGGCGGAAATTAGTTGAATTCTGGGATGTAGGTCTGGAATGATGCTCACGAGAACGCTCTTGAGCGGCCCGTTGTAGACCTCAGAGATGAAGACCTCAATGCCAAAGCAGGTCGCAATGACAGCTCCGAGGGAACAAGCCGCGATGATAGCGAAGGGAATCTGCAGCAACTGCCTCTGGAAGCGCTTGGATGCCGGGAAGAAGCCAACCTGCTCGCCAGTGACCGGGTCGGTGATGGTCTTTTCAGGTGCAAAGTCCTTCTTCCTGACATCGATCTTGGAGACGCCCTTGACGCCCCAGCGAACGCTCAGGTCCACCTCCTGTTGTTTCCAGTATTCGGTGAAGACGGTGCACCAGAGGGCGCTCGCAAGGCCGTAGATGGGCGAGAAGGAGCCGAAGAAGAGCCAGGAGAAGAAGCCGAAGCCGGCAGCGGGGATGAGGAAGGTAAAGTAGGACTGTGTGAAGGCGAAATAGAAGGCGATCTGAGTAGGTTAGTTGATAGCCTCAGGGGCGATGTTGTGGAGACTTGCCTTCTCTCCCAGACGGTTCCTGATATCATCCAAGTCCTCGGTAGTCAGGAAGTACTGCGAGGTCCACTTCTTGATCCAGTCCTTGTTGTAGGCGTGGTCGTGCAGCGCAAAGACGGATTCGACATTCTCCCATTCTCCCTCCTTGGGTGTGATGCCAGCGCCGCCTTCGGACGGAGGGTTGGTAATGAGCTGGTATATTATACGCAGCCTCTCGGCCTCGTAGAGGGGCTCTGCTTCGAGCGATTCGCGCGTAACCTTTTCGGGGGCAGCAGTTCGGACACCGTGGATCCAGTCGCGGACTCTGCTTGCGGTTTAGCCACGGTCCTTCCCAGACGCAGTAGAGGCTTGCATACCTGGACCTGTATACCTCGCCGAACAGGTGCTCGTCGGAAGCGACCCTCACGAAGAGCAGGATTGAGTGCGACTCGCCATTGCGGACCTCTGTCTGCAGCCCGACGTTTGCGAGCGCCTCACAAAGCTTCTCGAACTGTGCGGTGGCCTTTGTCTTGTCTGCGCGCGGATCAGTATATCAATTGGAGACCCCGCAATGGCGCAAACGTACCCGTCTTTGCAAAGCGGTAGCTGATCACGTAGTCGACGTCCAGGTTGCTCTGCAGCGCCTGTGATTTGGCCATGTCTGACGACGTGCCCGAGGTCAGCAGGGCAATTTTGATGCGGTAGATGGACCAGGCGAGGTTGGTGAAGTAAGGGATGGCAGCGTCGGTGCTCGTCCCCTCCTTCTGGGTCGACATGCCCAGGAAAGTTGTAAATGGGGGTTGGCCAAGCTACCGGAAGCCAAAACGTCATCGTCGCCTGCATCCCCGCCTACGCCATCCCTGCACCACATCACTGAATCTTGCACCAGCCATAACCAAACAAGATCTCTGCCCATGCGACGACGTATGTCATGCTGCAGCTCCGCATTACTCGAACTGGAAAAATTGTATAGACGATTACTGCACCAGAACCTGGAAGAACAATAGATCTATTGGTGTGTTATTGGTGCGTTAGCGAGCACGCACGCTAGACCGGGAGAAGTGTACTGTAGCCTTTGCCAGTACAGCCTGGTGAACGTCTATCTCTACCGTCGAACTAAGTATACCAGTCTTTGTGCTATGAATTTCAGTATAGCCCCTTCGCTGGTACGAATGAACGGCGTGCTCAAGGTCAATGATCGACTCACATGGCTTCTTGCCGCAAGAGATCATCTTTAACTGCAACACGGGTAGCAAGATGGCCGTTCTACTGAGTGATCTGATCGAAATCGTGCAGACTTTTGGGATTGCAGTCGAATGCCTACCTATTTCTAGACTATAATTATGTTCCGTCGATGCTCGTGCTCACGAAGCACGAGTTTCGAGATCTTCTCGTGCAGTCCGCACAGAACATCGATCAGTCGATCAACACATGCATCGTATTGAAGTTAGCACATGGTACCCCTGATTCTCTGAGTTCCAGGTATGTCGCCAAGCATTTTTTGGTGAATTTTGTGATCCTGTATTTATTGTAAAGATATGGTGAACTGGCTGCTGTCCCTTTCCGCGAGGCCATGTTTGCTGCCTTCCAAGGTTGGGTGTTTGTATGAGAACCACACCTCTCGATGCCTCGCTTGACTCTAAGCCGCTATTCGGGGATTTGATTGGAGTGTGCTTGGTCGTTGTATTGCGTACCCGCAGCAGTGGCACTGAGGACGGCGTCTGATAGTCAAATTGTCCTCAACTAAACGATCTGTCGGATTGACGCCATTTGGGTTACCCGGTGATCCCTTGCATGAACAGCGACAGTAAAGCGCATACCAGTACTCCTATCCACAAAAAAAAAGAGGCGATTCTTGGACGAACAAGACAGGCAACCACTTGACCGGAGGGGCGTATTCCATGGTGTTTGGAGCTTTTTGCATAACACTGCATGTACTACTTTCGACTACCAGCCGCATCCGCCCACGTTGATATGCAAGGCCGGTGTTCGTGTTTGCTTGTGGGAGGTTCCCGCTGCAACGGGCAGATATAGGCGAGTCTGCCTTGTGAGGCAGCCTTAGGCAAACTTCAGGCTTTCAGGCACTCACGCACGGAATTTACCCCTCCTTCGTGGGACGACGTTCACAAAGAGGGGTATTCTGGAAATTTGCTCTGTTGTAGAATTACTAGGTGTATTTGCTCAGAAACCAGTGAGTGAAACTACTGTCGTTACCAGTCGTAAACGTATGGAGAAGAGTGAAAAAGGGACAAGAAATGACCAGCTATCATCGACCCAAGAAGTCTCTAGCTGAACTTGGAGAGCTGCATGCAAATATCCACCCAACCGCTTTATCCAATATAGAGCCATGCAGACCAGGGGGTATCATCGTGCGTATGCAGAAGCGACCCGTAAAATGAGGATATCGAACCACCAACGCCCATGATGACACCACCTCCCAAAGCATACAGATAGGACCGCCCAATCAACGCCCGAAATCGTATCTTCAAACGTATCAAATTGATGGATTATGACGACCCCATCGGCTGGTCCACCCGTGAAGCACACTGCGCCTTTGTAGGAACTAGCCGCGCCCAGCTATTTTTGATGTATTCCCTTAGAAGTATAGTCCCATCGGCGATTGATAGCTCCCATAGTTGCCTTGAGTATTCCTGTGCCGGTGAGCTCAGCGTTCCCGTCTCCAGTGAAAGGCACCGTGTCGACAATGTCCCGAGGAACTCCCAAGCCCTGGCTCTGCGCTATTTTGATAAGGCCATCATCAAGTTGCATGAGATGCTCCCTGGCACCAGGCTCTTTTCCGACCTGGAAGAACTGGATGCCAAGTTGGTATGCTTCTGCGTCTTTCTCGTCGAGCTTCCTGGCGGCGTTGATAATGGGAGTTTCAAGATCGTCGGATGGCACACCATCAGTGATGACGATGATGTTCATGGGCTTGATACTCTTGTCGAGCACGAATCGCTCGAGATAAGACTTGAGGATCTTGTTCAGGCGCTGACCGGTCGGTGTTGCACCCCTGGGACGCACCGTCTGAAAGATCTCGATGACGGTACTCGCTGATGTGACGTTTTTGTAAATGCTAGAGTCGGGGTGGTTAAGGAAGTAGATGTCGATTCCGTCCGCATCACGCTTGGTGCAGATCGGTGCAATCACTTCAAGAGCCTTGCCAGTCTCCTTCCAAGAGCGGCCGGCCATGGATCCAGAATCATCAATCAGAAAGACTGTATCGAAGCTTCGAAGGAAGTCATAGGGATCGTCTTCTTCGATATCGGTAGTCGGGGCTGGATGTACTGCGGGGGCATTCTGAGCTGGGCCTGGTGTATACGCCGGCGGGGCATCGCGGTTAGAACTAAAGGGATTCATGCTTGAGCTGTCTGGCAAAAGGTCAGCTTCAGGAAGAGCAATCGTAAAGTGGATGTATCATGTGGGGTAGTGCTTACTGGGTCTTCGTGTAGCAGGCGACGCCGAGTCAAACGGGCCGGGGTATGAGAACAGTGTAAGGCCACTGTCGCGGGATGCAGAGTTCCTCTTGTTCACCGGTGCACCTGTAGGCGCATTACCAAGCATCTGTCCAGCGCCTTCTGTGTCCCGTGGGCTATAGCTATTTGTCGACTTGGAAGACTTGCGGGTCGAAAAGGTCTTCTTCAATTTGTCAAACATACTTCCGGACTTTGATGATAATGGGTAGTGTTGAATGCAGGGAGTGACAGCGTAGGATAGAGAGTTGGCGTTGTCGAAATACTGAACGGTGGAAAGTGAGACAGACATTGGAGCAGTGGCCAACGTTAAAGTGGGTCGGAACAAACGGTAAGGACAGGTGAAAGGTAGTTTGAGAAGATTACCGGTGTCCTGGTGAAATAGAAGTGATGTTCCATGGTTCAGTGAATCTATATACTATTCACAACGAACACGATGCGAAAAGTCTATATGCGCCTTGTGTGTGCCTTACTATCGGCCTTGACCATCGATGTATTAGGCATGGAAGGAACACTTCGGGTAGCCGCAACCAGAAGTCATGGTGCTGCGCACAAGCTCAGGCTGATTGCATAGCCACCACAGTCTACGCTAAGACCCAACCACACCGCGACGTGACTCTTGCATAGCCGAGTAAACCTTGCAAGGGTCGGCTCGCAACCATCTAACTGTTCAAAGAACGAACCACGGGTAGAGGATGGGAAAAGAACCACTGCACGGAGTTCAATGAACATGCATCACAAGGGTGCAGGCACCGGGTTAACAAAGCGGGTCAGGCTGTCCCTCATCCAGCACCTCAAACGCGGGTAACGTTCCCTCCTTCCTGAATTCCGCGTGTTACTAGAAAAACTTAGTCCTAGCATCAAACACTTGATCGAGGCGTTTTGAGGCCATATCTGCATGAGGCCCAAAGGCCTCAAAAGCTGCCTTGATGATGTACTGTATCCTTAATACACGTCCCTCGCCGTCCAATCGCGCTCCACAGCCATGAAAAGATCCCTAACCGCCACATGCCTGCTGAGACAACTACTCGGTGTCCTCTGATGACTCTTACGCGCGACGGCATTGGTAAGCGCCCGATTACCCGTTAAAGACTTTGGGTGAGCCCACATGACCGGTCGCTTAGCTAGCTGCCAGGCATACTCACTGCGGTGGTTGTTCCAACATTCCGCGCAGATTCCAATATCTAGACTACCTGTATCGAGGCTGAGCTGATTTTGTATAAGGTCAAGAAGTGGGAGTATGCGTCCGCGCAGTCCGCAATGTCCGTGATTGCTATCGACCTGGTAGTTGGAACACTGGCGAAGTGATGATAGGAGTCGATCGATGTCGCCAAGGTAATACGTCGGCTCTGTGTTATCGTAGATTTTGCCTTGCAATCGTATAGTATCGATCTTGGAGAAGAAGCGAACCATCTCCCCTAGCTGAAACGAGTCGCATTGTAGCGATGTATCGTACCAGAGCTTGCATTGGCGTTCGCCAGACGTGTACAGCTTGAGGAAGTGAGCCTGTACAGAGTTGATGGTTTCCAGTATGTACTCTCGTCTCTGTATCAGCTCGTCTTCGACGCCGTTTGGTATGTCCCACCACAAGGCTTTTGTGTGGTCCTCCTCTGTCCCCGGTCGCCACTGGACTGAGTCGCGCATGATCAGATGCTTCGAATACCGCGTTACCCACGATGGATGATCGAAGAGGAGACCGACGAAGAGCTTCTGCCGTATCCTTTCTTCCGTTTGCGTTGGGGCTGGCTTGCCTCTCGACTTGGCATCGATGAGCTGCAGGTATTTTTTCCTTTGCATATGCTTCGACAAGCCCGCAACAGCATCGAATCGGTCGGCTACGACGGCGAGATTGGCGAGGTTGGCTATGGGCGGGTTCGTGACGGCAAGATCGAGGCCATGGATGGCGCGGAGGAAGTCTGCAACCAGGTTGCGGATCGAAGAGGCTTTGGCAACGGCCACACGGCCGACGTTGACGATGGCTATGTGAGGAAGCACGTGGGCAGGCGCATCTGCAATCTTGCTATAGCTACTCATGGCAAGTGCTTCCAAAGCGGCCGTCAGCCGCTGCCCTTCGTTGAAGCGGTCACTCAGCAGATTCTCAAAGTACCGCGAGTTCTGCTGCAGGGTCTTAGAGTCTACGCGATACGAGAAGCGCTGTCCGCCCTCTTCCTGGGCGACATCGAGGATGAGGTCGCCATCCGCCGCGATGACTAACGCATCCTCGTCGTCCGACATGGTTTGGGATTGGTGCTGTGAGGTCTCAAGGCGGATTTCCTCATGGGTAGGGCCAGAACATTATGGCTCGATGGGATGGCAATTCGCTTTCCGTGTGTTGGGTGAGGAAGAAATTGGGAGAGAGTGAGGTCACAGCCCGCCCGCAGCTGAAGGCTGAGCGGCGGCCGCTGCGGAACCAGCCAATGAGCGGAGGCTTGCCAGCTACGCCCAGTGGCGTTGGGCCGACAGCTAGGCGGCCTCTACACCACTTCACACCACAAGCAGACCATCACCATCCATCGCTATTTGCACTGCCGCTGCTTAGCTAGAGTCCCTAAGCAGGCTATTCTCTCGTTGTGGCGCAAAAGCTTTGGAGCACGTGACCTACATCCCATGAGGTAAGATATCATCACACTATCAATCATCATCAAGGCAAACTTGTAGTCAAAAGAAGTATTGATTTGAGCAACGTGACAACTCCACGCTGAATGCATATGCCGGGTATCCTATGCGAAATGGCCACTGATCTGACGCCCCCAAACCCATTACAAAAGAGATAGTAGCATGAGGAATACACCCCAGCCACACTGAGACCCAGTAACCGAAATCATGGCACAACTGCCTCCGCGACGTGGTTGACCTTCGTGTGTTGGCAGCGGCCAGCCACTTGTGCTTGTCTAGCACTTTCGGGAAGGAAGCTTCATCCTCATCCACTCATCGCCGACAATGGCATGACCCACGCGCGACTCAAAGAAGAGACGTTGCTTCTGTGCGCGTTGGACGTAGGTAAGACGACGCCTGTGTACCCTGCCCTTCTTGTCGCGTGTGTATTCGTACTTTTCTTCTCCCTGTACAGTCGTTAGTATGACGTTGTATCAAGACACAGATTAGAGGGGCACTTACGATAAGGGCCCAGAGGGACTGCTCTTCCGGGTTCATGTTGCAGTGGTAGGCTGGCTTGGGAAGGGGCTTCTCGCCGCTGAGCCGGCTGTAGATGCTGTCGACACTGGAGCGGACGGACAACATGGTGAAGTGTGTAATGGCTTTGAAGTGGGTCTCGAAGTGGTGGCTGGAACGCTCGCCGCGGACGGCTTGGGTGTACGTTACCGGACGAGCTCGAGGTCGTGTTTGTAGTCGAGGTATACAGGAGTGTGAAGTTGCAAAGGCATGAAGGAGGGACGGGTGAGTAGTTTTATGCGGGTGAGATTGTGCTGCACAGTGTTTGCAGCGCGAACCGTAGTTCGCTACGTTTGTTGAAAAAAAGCGGTGATTTTAATCGCGCAAATCGGTAAGCGGTACCGGCTTTGTGAGGACCGTGGACCACACGATGCAACCAACACATGCGCAAGGGATTCGTGTGGATTATATGTGAGCCGGCGGGCAGTGGAACGGAAACAGGTAAGCCTGGGGGCATCATGGGACACCCACGGGGTTCCCAGGTTAGTATGGCGCCAACCGCGATACGCGGGCAGTGAGATGTTCCAAGCCGCATGCCCAGCGCGGCCAGTCCAAAACGCATCTCCAACACTCTGACCTAACCCAACCACGAAGCTGCCGATCGAGTACAGATTGCACAACCAGCGGCCAGAGATTGCATCACAATAGTGCGCTTATCTTGGCGCGTCCCGCTACGCAACGTCGTTGCGCGGCGCCCAGAAACGCGGAGGCTTGTCGCGAAAAAGCGGCGGGCTACGACGACTTATATAAAGGACCGCGCACTGAATGTGAGGCGCAAGAGAGGATCTTCATGTCCAAGACTCTTGGCTGTGATCTACAGGTGAGGATGCGTGTAACGTGGAGCCAGATCGGGGCTTGGAGCTTGCGTGTGGGAGAGAGATCTGCGGAGGCTGGCGCACGAAAGGTTAGAACGGAGCGCCATCCCGCGTTCATCACAGAGCCTCCACGACGCATCAGTTCGGCCTGCGGCCTCTCCATCACCCTTTACCCCACGAAGTCATTGGTTCTAACTGGTATGGGATGATGGTTTAAACCTTACTGTCCCGGTTCAACGTGTCGCTTACCCGAACAATCAGCTTCTAATCTCCCAGTCCTGCAGCGTCCAAAAGTAACCTCTTCCAAGATTGCATGGCACGTCGTGATCGGCTTCTGGCTGTCACACGCGGCTTCCAAAGGTTGGCGCTGGTGCTTCGTGGTGACAAGGAGTGATGTGGCGGCAAGTGTTGACCCCTATCATACGCTTCCTTGTACTGCTGTACCTGGAGAACCATAGGGGCAAGCGCACTGCAAATCAATAGCTCTTGGCACTCTTAATGAACTAAGACGTGATGATCGTTATACACACACTCGCTGGAAACGTCACAAGCATCGGGACCATGCCCTTCTTCTCCTCTACCTTGGTGTCCTGTACATGCGCTGTTCGTATTACACATGGAAAGTCACGACTACAGAGTGACTTCTCAATCACCGAAACCGCTTGCGACATCGGAGCCCTCGCAAACGGGCTGAAAAGAGCATTCACTGTCCATGTTGGTGAAGCGTCAGGGCGTTGTAAATAATAGGCAGTCGTAGAGCGATGCTCGGCACAAGGCGGCCGACGTCGGAGGGGTTGCGATAGCGGGGCAAGGAATACTACTTCGTGGGGTAGCTTCACGAATCTTTGGCAAATCCTCGAGAGCGCGCAACCCCCTTTGTTGGATTCCAAGCATACTCAACTCATCATGACTGCCCACAATATTGTTGTCCTTGCTGGTAAGCCATAATTTGAAGTCCGTACAGCTGTGCGCTAATTCCATACAGGTGACGGTGTCGGCCCAGAGGTAGCAGCAGCCTTCGCACTTTCCCAATGCGCCTACTGACGCACACATCCAGGTCGTCGCCGAGGCGATGAAGATCCTCAAAGTCATCCAGAAACATACCGACAACACCTTCAACTTCAAAGAGCACCTTTTTGGAGGAGTAAGTTTCAAGCTATGACGTAGGGGACTTGTCTTACTAGTTCTAGTGTTCGATAGATGCACACAACAATCCTCTCACGGATGAAGCCCTCGAAGCCGCAAAGTCGGCCGACGCCATCATCCTCGGTGCTGTCGGCGGGCCGGTACGACCCTACAACTCCAC